TATAAAATAGTTTGTTGGGTCCTAGCCTTAATATTTCATATTAGGTGTTATATTAAGGACCTTAAATCAACTATCTTGAATATCCCAAGAGATGTCAAGTTCAGACATCTATGATCTTCCCAAATATCTTGGAACTTCACTTCCTCCACCTCCTCCAATTATTATCCCTAACCCACAAGTTCAAGGTCACTCAAGCCTTATTGGCAAGGCAAGGTCTATGTGTGATCACATCTTGGAGTTGTAGTCACATATTGACAAGTTGGGAGAGTTGGGTGTCAAAGTCTTGAGAAAGTTGGTGGCTCAATCACTTTCTAAGTCACATAGTGAGTTCCTTTCGGATAGCTATGAAATAGACTATGAAAAGATCCTTAATGATCTTATCTATTTGCTTGGTGCTGCTAAATTAGAAATGATTTAGTGTACTAGTAAAGCAAATTTGATTAGGAGATCAACTTCCCAAAACTTTATGGACAACGACAATACTGACACAGGAAATCCAGAAATGCATTCTCTTCCCAATGCTAAGGGATTGGCCATAGTCAACTTGGTTGACCAAATGGTAAAGAGAAAGGCTAAGTCTAAGATAGTCCCATGTACTATTACCTAAGGGTCCATATATTTCTATTGCCAAAGGAAGGGGCTTTGGTTATGAAGCTGCCAGACTTACCTAAGGATGATAAAGTCAATAAGTTTGACTTTATTTTAGGTAAAGTCCACTGTCTAACTCTATTAAGTTCCTACTTGGAGATTCTTATTATACGATGTGGCTGGGTCACATGTTGATGTTTTAAGAGTCAAAGAAAAGTAAAGAAACTTAAACGAAGTATATGCTGATTCTGATCGCGAAGATGGATTTCAATCGTGTTGTTCGGTGATCAGAATTTTGAGCACATGCTTGAGAGTTATGATAGATTGCTTAGGAATAGATAACAACAAGTTTTCATATACATTTGCATCGTAAGGATTAGTTTTTCCGCAAAGTTTTAAAATAAAAGAAAAGTTTTTATTATTGTTTATTTTAAAAAAATATCCTTACAATGGCATTTTGTAGAAAAAGGAAAAGAAGTTTCTTATATGATTCCATTGATAGCAATATTGGAAATATGAATTTGATTCTCTCATTTATTGTAATGTATAAATTTACCAAATAAGGAAAGATTCTCATCACCCAAGTTTCAAGTGGACCGGAACTTGGAATCATGCAAGTTGTATAGCATGATGAATGAGAACTTTCAAGTATTGAAAAAATTAAGACTAATTACTTGTTCACATGGATGTGTGAGTCAAGTGAAGGACTAAGCGATCGAGTACACATTCTGGTGCACTGGTCAAGTCCACCACAAAAGATGGATAAGACTATTCATCATGATTTACTAAGGTTTAGTAAATATGATTATACTTACAAGCTTAAGTATAATTCTGAAGCATTGGAAAATTTTTAATGTATGACAAAACGAATAAGAAGAATCAAATTAGGCAGAAGGATAAAGGTTTCTCAAATCTGAAAAGATGGGAGAGTACTTTAGTATCATGTTTTAAGATCATCTTAATGATTTTGAGACCTTATCACAATTCATCCTCTAAGTATATTCTGTTAGTTAAGAAGAGGAGTTATGAATTGTTGAAGTGGTTAAATCAAGAACATGATTCATACTTCATTCCAAAACAATCATAGAGTTATACTCTAAGGTTGTAACTGTTGGGTTTTGAGCATTCTAACACTTCCTAAGTGTACATGCAACCCTAATAAACCTTGGATCTATGTTTTTCTAAGATACATGCAAATAATTAATTTTCCAAGGTTTATATCCCAGCTAGCATGGCATGGGGAACATAAATCAAATAAAGCTAGAAGAAATACTTACCTTGAAGTTGTAGTTGATTGCTTGGAGTTTTTGAGCCTAGCACCAATAGTGTGGATGCCTCAAGTGGAAATCACAAATCACCACAAACTTGGAACTTTGAGAGAATAGTCACTACTATCTTGAAATTTGCCCTCACCTCAACAAGTGTCAACTAGTGTCATTTCAAGAACCAAAGTGAAGAGACCTTAAGATCAATCGATATATCAAACAAAGACAATGAGTAAGAACAAGAGATATTCACGAAGAAAACTTTCACTAAGAAAGATAATCTCACAAAGAGATTATCGTGTGAACAAAGCGACAATTAGGGTTTGTGAAAGACAACGTCTTTACAAACCCATACAAAAGACTATATAGAACAATTATAGACAATCCCTACAAATCAGGGATATTACAGCTATCTTATACATGATAACTATGGAAACAAGATAAATACTGAATCTGTTACATCAAATACATATACATTGAGTAAACTAAGCTAATATAGACACAGCGGAAATATGTTAGAGCTGACGCTGATACACGTGCTGACGCTGAGTTTATTTTAAACATAATCATATTTCAAGGTTCGACCTTACAATCTCCCCCAATATGATGATGTTCAAAACAAACTAAATAAATACACCTCTTGAGAGAAATTCTTCATACTCAGCTTCAGCTTCAATTTTAACTGGCCAGTAAGGACTGTCCAGCAACTCTTGTCTTCTGTTCAGCAGCTCCATAGCAATAAGGATGTGAAATTCTCCAGATAGATCTTGATGACTCATGCACATTTGCCTTAAGCCAACAAGGTGAGTGATTGGAGCCTTTGGGATCTCAGTGGTTCTTTGAAAGCACGTCCTCCTGTTTTTATCTAGATAGAACATTCCGTGCTCAGGAGCTGAGATGAATTGATGCTGAACCGGATCAACACCCAGAGGAAGTGAATTGTTAATTGCACCAGCACCAAAGTCTAGAACCAACACATCTTCGCCATCGACATGAAACTTGGTTCTTCGAGATTTATGAGCTGACAACCTTTGACCTTGATGCTGAGATCGTTCCTTAGGAACAAGATCCAAA